CTGTCTCTGTTCCCCACCGGACTTAGCAGTCCTGGTAGCCCGGACGAGACCGAGCTAGTTTAGCATTTGGTAGCGACGGTGCCATGAGGAGCAGGGGCTACTTTTTACGGAAGATCTCCCCACAGCACCCAACCCTCCTCTCTTGTCATGCAGACTTGGAATGGTCACGTCAGAGTTCTTACCTAATTGATTGTATTTGCCATGCCAGTATCTTTCGCGTGTAACTGCTATTTTAAGGCTGGGAAAGTATGAAGAAATTCGAGAAAACCTTTCTCTGCGACTGTTTGCTGTTAGAACGAAGGAAATTGAAGCTGACTGGCTGCAGAACAAGTACTTTTTTCTCCCTTTTTTCTCACTTCTTTCGATTTGGCTGTCTTATTTAGGTTGACTCTTGTCCAGTCTTTGACACAGTTTGCCGATAAAGTACTCGCTTGTAGCGAACTAGTGGATATGTCGAAAGAAATTCAGACGAAAGTTCAATCCTACGAGAGTCAGCTACAATATCTTCAAAAAGCGCGCGATGATGACATGCATGTTCTCTATACGCTTCCTAGAAGGTACTGTTTCTTGATTGTTGTGGGCGATGAATTCACCTTTTAGCATTTCGTCAGGATATTCGATTGAACACTGTGTATCGCACGCGTGCGTTATTTTCATTTAAGCACTGTATCAGAGGATCTTCTGCTTAAACTTAGGAGGCTTGCAAAAAGCCATGCGAATTAGTACGATTTTGGGAACGTTTCTTGGCATACGTGAAGGAAATAGTCCTACACAATTGAAGATCTCTCTAGCGGCTGTATTTCCACATTCCGCCTCTAGGCGGCGGCTTACATGATTGGGCGATTTGTCGCTTTTGCGGCACAGACATTACGCCTTCTAACTTCATCGCAAACTGCATCTTCTGACTCGTCACTAGACGATGCTAGCGTATCCTTATAAATCTTCGCAGATACACCTGTTGGAAGTTCGCAGATACACCTGTTCTGGCGGCATTCCTCTGTATTCAGTAGTACCGCTCTTTCTAAGTTGTACAAGAGAATATGTCGAACTAAGGACGCGAAGATTTGGCTTATGAAGTGCTGAAGCCTAATTTTAGTAGTGCCGCCATTTAAGCTCTTTTTTCTTTCAGCTCCTTGTAGCAGCGGTTTCGTGGTAACAATTAAATTCAGATATATAAAACTATCTGTTTCTGCTAGTTGATTTCCGTTTATGTAGTATCCGTTATCGTAGTTTCTTTTGCTCTCGTCATTTTGATCTCTACTCGATTGAGTTGAAGGACTGCTCTTCTTGCAGTCCCATGCAGCGATTCATCCAAAAGCTGTTCCATGTTCGATACCTCTTAGTAGAATGATATCGTCCATGCTGCCTAGGTCTGTATCCTGTACGGAAGCTTACATTGAGCTGCGCCTTCAATTCATCGTTGTGCCTGACGGTCTCTCGCTTCTTCATCTGTCATCATTATGATAGAAAATGCCGACTTGCATCACACCGTTGCGAACTTCTAACTACTTCGACACACCGTCCCGCTTTAAAGTTATTCGGCAGTGTTGATAATATTGTTTGGAATATCAGTATCGCATGATGTTTATCGTCGTGGGACGGTGAATTGAGTCAAACACAGCTCTGAAATAGATGAACGGTGGATACTATTGATGTTGAATTTTCCGATGCTGCCGCATGACCATGCGAAATGGAGTATATGGACGCTCCACGAGTGACCTCTTATAAACTCTGCCCTGTTGTTTTTTAGTTTTTCTCCCTTTTTTGTTTGTTTCAGGCGCTTCTAAATGACGCGGGAGAGATTTTTTATTGGTGCATCGTTAATATGTCCAAATTATTTTTTCGCAAAATCGTTGATTTAATGATAAATTAATGAACAGCTAACTGTGAACTTGACGGCTTGATTAGTTGCGCAGAATAATTTTCTTGAGAATAGAACAGGAATCATTTAATAATTAATGGTACGTTTTATGCCTTTCGCGCTCGCACTCCAACATCCGACTTATACCTAGAAGGCTTCCGTTAAAGTGCCATACCTGGTATATTTCGTCTGACTTCCAAAGAAGTTATGCCTTGTA